ATAAAGTAGATTTGTTGGCATATACACTTAAAAAATTAAGTAAAATAAGTAAATAATTAAGTTAAGTGATTATTTATTTCCTCTCTAGATACTCCTAAACTATGCCAAAGCTCCTGAATATATCAAACACTTTAGGGTTACTGATAATTACTCTCAGATCAAATAATAATATCAGGGATTCTATTTACCTCATTGTCTTTGCTGTCAAATAAAACCAATAACCATCATTCATTCAGTCATTTGATCAACATTTGCTGAGTGTCCACCATATGGGCACTTCCCGGGCACATACATCTCCACCAGGATTAGCCCTAAATTTATAGAACTAGGCCAGGCATGGTGGCGCATGCCTGTAGTCCCAGCCACTTGGGAGGCTGAGGTGGGAGAATCACTTGAGCCCAGAAGTTTGAGGATGCAGAAGTTTGAGCTATGATTGTACCACTGCACTCCAGCCTGGGTTGACAGAGTGACACCCTGTCTCTAAAAAAAGAAAAAGATATGTAGTCAGAAGTGACCAGGGAATGAATGAATGATATGCCAGGCTCTGTCCCAACATAATATTCCAATGTCCTGGAGGAAAATATACATTTATAAAGACAGCGGGTGAAACTTTCTTATATGTGAAATCACCTATAGAAATGGTGACACCTAAGTTATGGTTCCTTCATCATAACATTATGCATTTTGCAGATCTTTCATTTAAAAACTATGAAGATTTATAAGAGCAGATTACCCTGACCATTTTCTACTTCTGAGCACAGTTTTCTGCAAAAGAAGGGAATGGCTACAAATTCTTTGGGGAGGGTTATATTCTGTATAATTTGGCTTCAATTGACCACACTGACTAGCTTAAAACCCCCAAGGCAGTCATAGTGATGTAAGAAAAACATAAGTAATGTATAGTCTTTGGGGCGCTGGTTTGAATCTCTGTGTCTGAGTCTTTTATGTAACCAAGTGTTAAAATACCCCATTAGCCAGGCATACTTCATGGAACTTCTTGAGGGAGGGGGAACAGCTAAATCTTAATAGGAAAGGTGTCAGTAACCATGGCAAAGCCTAGGTTTAGAAGTTTCAAAGCCCTGAAAAGATTTTTTTAAGTCATGATAAATCTGACATGAAAACAAAACATCAGAAACTTCTCCCTGTGTAGCTTCAGATATAAACTAATTCATCAGCTAACAAAGTTTAACTGGTGTGGGGCACATCTGGATCACAGGGCCTTCAGAAAATGTCTTCAGAGAGTAAATCTATTTTTTAAAGTGAATTTAAAACCCCGGACTCCAAGGGATTCATGAAGACACTGGGGCAATGGTGGTGGTGGTGGAGAAACATACACAATAGGCAGTGAAAACCCTGCAACCACCATTTTTGTTTTGTTTTAAGTAATTGTCAATGTCAATTTATAATATTTGTTACAGACTAATTTTTCTGGGTACCTTTAATTCGTCAGCAAGAGTTGATAGGTTGCTAAGCTATATTTTTTACCAATGACAGAATTAGTGGGCAAACCTTCAGTGGCTAGGCTGCCTTACTCCCCTAGGGAGCAGAGAAAGGCCAATTCCTAGGTCTGGGGGAGTGGCGCTCTGTGCCCACCTCCTTTCTTTAGCACTTTGTGTGACAGGTGGGTGCTGGTCACAAGGGCTAAATACCCAAAATTCCCTCATCCACAAAGCAGGACAGCACAGGACGGCACATTCATATTAACATGAGCCCAGGGTTTCAAATCAAGAACCTTGAATGAGACGCCATCAATTTGATGACTTTTGGACATTTATGTAAAGTATAAATATTTTACATAAAGTATGATTCAGGTAAATCAAAAAAGTCAAATAGATCAAGAAAATATAAAATTTTAGATTTTTAGAAAGGGTATTGTGAACAAACAAGCCATGAGGTCAGAGGAACATTCACGTGAGAGGCTTCTAGAATCAGGTATCCAGAGACAGGGACATGCCAACAAAGATAATAATATTGGGTGATATTTTTCAGATATTTAACATGTGTCATAAACTGTATTAAGTAGACACTCAGACTGAGATCAAAGGTGACACAGAGGAAAGCGAGGCCCAGAGAGAAGGATGTTTCCTGGTGACACGGTTTGAGGCCTGGGTTAGGTTATACTGCACATTACCACTACCTCTGGACTTGGAATTCTGTGAACCAAAAAATGGGTTGACTTAGGTTTCTATTAACTTGTAACCAAAGAAGAGTCCTAATAGCCCCATTTTGCACATTGAGTACTCATCTTTCAGTGTGAATGACCCCAGTCAACCACCCTCAGAGCCAGGGCTCCAAGGCAGGGTCCACCACCTGCCTGCACAGCTGAATGGCCTGGAGAGGTGAAAATGCAGACTCCCAGGCCCGTCACGTGGAGATTCTGACTAGCTAGACCTGGGAAGGGACCCAGGAATTGGAGATATATATATATATATATATATATATATTTTTTTTTTTTTTTTTTTGAGACAGAGTCTCACTTTGTTGCCCAGGCTAGAGTGAGTGCTGTGGCATCAGCCTAGCTCACAGCAACCTCAAACTCCTAGGCTCAAGTGATCCTTCTGCCTCAACCTCCCGAGTAGCTGGGCATGTGCCACCATACCCGGCTAATTTTTTTCTATATATTTTTAGTTGTCCAAGTAATTTCTTTCTACTTTTAGTAGAGATGGAGTCTCGCTCTTGCTCAGGCTGGTCTCGATCTCGAGTTCAAATGATCCACCTGTCTCGGCCTCCCAGAGTGCTAATACCTGGTGATTTTAAGGTCCTCATTCAAGACTCAGCAGGGGCTTATGGACTCTGATAACTCACTTCCCCAGATGCTATTTGGAGAATAAAAGTCATCTTCCAGTCATACATAAAACAGGTGATACTGGGAATGCCACCAAAGCCAAGAGAAGTGACTGGTATGATAGCTTACATCTCTAACATGCTCTCAGTCACCTAAAAGGAACATCAAGTCTTAGCTGGGTTTCATGTGTTGGGTATGCCTGAAGATGGCAATGTAAAATGCTACATTTATGGAAAACAGTTTGGCAATAGGGCCTTAAGGTTCATATTCTCTGACCCAGTCTAATTCTTAGACTCTGACCCAGGAAAATAATTACAGACGTATGCAAAAACCATGCACAGAGATGCTCATCATAACCGTGTCTCTGACAGCTAACTATTTCACACAACTTATGTGTCTGGCAACTGGGGAATGGTTCAATTAAGTAATGCAGGCCTTTAAAAGCATGTTGCTAAGGAATTTTCACTGCCACATTCTCACAATACTAAGAATGCTGATATATGTACACACATATATACACACACTCTGTGTAATATGGATACCCCAACTCTTTGTTTAAAAATATAGATATATTGGCCAGACGCAGTGGCTCACGCCTGTAATCCTAGCACTCTAGGAGGCTGAGGCGGGCGGATTACTCAAGGTCAGGAGTTCGAAACCAGCCTGAGCAAGAGTGAGACCCCCGTCTCTACTATAAATAGAAGAAATTAATTGGCCAACTAATATAAATAGAAAAAATTAGCCAGGCATGGTGGCGCATGCCTGTAGTCCCAGTTACTCCGGGAGGCTGAGGCAGCAGGATTGCTTGAGCCCAGGAGTTTGAGGTTGCTGTGAGCTAGGCTGACGCCACAGCACTCACTCTAGCCTGGGCAACAAAGCAAGACTCTGTCTCAAAAAAAAAAAAATATATATATATATATCCACATATAAAACAATAGAAGGAAATCCATCAAAATAATAAGTAATTTCTATTTTCTTCCTTATAGTTCTATTTTCTAAATCAGAAAAAGTTAAATTAAAATATAAAAAGCACCCTTCCAGAGAATATTTAATAAAATGGAAAATGCTTATAATATTAAAAATATAGGATACAAATATATATTCAATATGGTACCAATTAGTTTTCTAAAACTATATACACACACAGTCATATTCCATATAACATTTCAGTCAACAATGGATTGCATATATGACACTTTATTTTTACTGTACCTTTTCTACTCTGAGATACGTTTAGATACACAAATACTCACCATTGTGTTACAGTTGCTGACAGTATTCAGTACAGTAACATGCTGTACTGTGTGGCCTAGGAGCAACAGGCTATACACCGTCTAGCCTCAGTGTGTAGCAGGTGATACCGTCTAGGTTTGTGTAAGTACACAATGACGACGTCCCCTAATGATACAATTCTCAGAACGTATCCTTGTCATTAAGCAATACATGACTATATATATGATGATATAGATATACAAACTGTTAAGTCTGGGTAGTGGAATTACAGGTAATTATTTTCTTCATTTCACTTGTATGTCTTTCTGAAATTTACTCAATGGGAATGGATTACATTTCAAGTCAGAAAGAAAACACAATAAATTGCACTTTTCACAACCATTTACAGGAGGAACACTTCCCTAGGGGCTTCCTGTCCCTGTTGGGAGCTCCTTGCAGCTGGGGTGTGGCATGGCCATGAGGAATGACTGTGTCTCCTGAGCTCCGCAGCCCAGACAAACACCCACCTCCCAGAGGTGCCCCATGAACACCTGCCAGGTTGGTAGGGACCACGCAGTGAGGATAAGGATGACGACAATAACCACCACCCCATCGTCTGCTGAGCTCTTCCTATGCACCAGGTGCCCTGCCCGGTGCTTCCCATGCATTGCCTCCTTGAATCCTACGAGGCTGGTCTGTGCCCAGCGAGGGGCAGGCCCGGGACGGGAGCCTCAGCCTGCCCGATTCCAACACCCCTGCTCGTGAGCCCTGCACTCCAACCAACAGCAGACTTCCGTACGGGATCCGTCTCTTAGGAATAGCACACGTCTTCACCGTAAGTCAGTTACCCAGGAGTGTATCTGATATGCCTAGAACCTTCTTTCTGATCCATTTATGTAAAGAAAAACATTACATTTTTACTTTGACCTATAATTATTGTTCCCAGAGGTCGTTTTTTATAAATAGCATATCCCGTGGCCGTTCTTGTTTTCGTTTTACCTACCTTCTCTTCAGATGGGTAAAAGCCGATTGCTCTCATGACAAAAGGAACCTCCGAGAGGCAAATGTGTTCCGACACCTTTCTCTCCTGCATTGTATCAATGCCTTGACTGCGGAGCTGAGAATAGTAGAAATAGTCTTCCAGCTCCTGCGTGGGGATAAAATGGAAACACAACACACGTTTTGGCTTAAGTCTGAGACATCCATTAAGACTTCAAAGACATTTTCTGTAAAATACATTTTGAGCTCAGTGGGGAAAAGAGCTTTGGAATAAAGCAAGAGGGTTAACCCTGGGCACATCTGCTTTACAAACTTAACTAGACATTACCAGGAAGTGTTTACTCTGAAGACAATTACCCTGTAGAATTTTCCTTCCCTGCCACCAGGCACCAGACCATAGAACGGGGTCAAGTCTTCGCCCCCAAGAGAAACCGCTGCCTCCAGGGCACTGGAACAACAAAGGAAGCATCACGATTAGAAAGCACTCACGCGCAAACACGTCTCCGAGGGTCATCGGCCCTCTGAAGAGTGTTACTGCGCAGATACAATTAGGGTCTCTGTAATTTTGTTAACAAAAATCCCTCCAAAATGAAGCTGAAAATGGAGAATTCAATTTCAAGCATGGAACTCGGTGGTACAGGACACCCGCCTCAATTATGGTGACATTCTCTCACTGATGATAGGGCAGGTGCTTGGCAATTTGTCTGCAATCTTTGGGGAATGTCTCTCTCCTGAGGAGGGAGGAATGAGGGGGGCTCCTGTGTCATGAAACCACGATCCTCCCAAGCAGAGAAGCTTTACCCGTAAACCCTAGATCCACGATAACCAGAGCCGAAGAATGGGATGTTGTACAGGGGGACTGCCAACACTAATTGCCTCCGCAAAACTCAGGAGACCACAGTGACCCATGCCAGCTAGATAAAAATAACACTCTGCTCTCTAACACAGGGTCAGATTTTCCAAAAATAGGCCCCTTAAATGGTAAGAAAACCTACTTTTTTTTGTATGAGACTGACTTTGCCTTGTACAAAAGGCTAATAATCTGAAATCATTATAATAATCCACTAACTGGATTTCTACTAATCAGGCGATTAGCCTCTTTGCTCAGATATTAAAACACACTTGGATGTAGACCACAGTGGGGAAGTGGTTAAGTGTCCAGAATGTGGAGCCACAGGGACCTGTGAGTGAGTCCTGGCTCTGCCATTTGCAAGCTGCGTGACTGTGGGCAGGTAACTTAACCTTCTGTTTCCTCAACTGTAAAATGGGAAGATTTATAGAGCTTGTTGTAAGAACTCAGTGAGCAAAAGCGTAAGAAGGACTGGAGACAGAGCCCTTTATTTCCTGCCTGTAATGAATGTTGTTTGAGGCGTGGGGTCAACTCCCAGCCCCACCAGGTATCCACTGCCTGGGCAGTCATTCAAGCCCTCCCTCAGAGCTAGTTTCTCGATCTGTCCAGTGGGGATGACAGCAGGACCAGCCTCACAGGACGGCAGTGAGGAAGAAATCAGATAATGCGCACAAAGCACCTGGCACAGGGCCTGGGCCCCAGAAAAGGCTCAGGACGAGGTGGTCGGGATTATATTCCCATGGAAATGGGTGTTGACAGGCACCCACAGTTCTCACACAGAGAGTCAGCCACAGACCTGTCCTCAGTCCTCTTGTTGGGGCCCTGCACAAGCCCATGGGCTGGGTTAGAGTCTGGGGGGCCTGGTGTATTCTCCAGGTGGGCCTGAGGGCCCCCTCCTGCAGGGCCCGGTCTTCACTCCACTCCTTAGCTCTGATTAGGCCATGAAGGCAGGTCCAGCTGACAGGGCTCTCTTCAGGCCCGGGCCCAATCCCAACAGGCTCCATGAGCAGTAAGGCCACTTTTAGCCATGTGGTTCTGGAGGAGGGCCAGGTAAAGGCTTGAAGTGACACAGAGGAGCCTGTCACAAGCAGGAACCCCTTAGGGGAAAGGCTTGGAAGAGCTCCTGGTCTTCTGCGAACAGCCCAATACTCTGGGCTCCAGTGGTCATGGCTATCCTACAACCCCTGCTTCCTGGCCACTGTCAATTGACCCGACAGGGACCAGGGGGACTGTACTGGGTTATCTCCAACCAGAAGAGGGAAAGAGACTCACTTTCTCTGTAGTGGGAGTTACAATTTGTGAAATTCACAAACTGTTAGTGGCCATGTTCCTGCTGAGTAAAGAAACCCAGTTCTGCAAAGAATGAAGCCAGCAGCAGAGCCACGCAGAGAGAGAATGCAGAAGACACCCATGGGTGCTGCTGTCCCTGTTCCTCCTGCTGTGCAGCTACCTAAGATCCCAGCAACCTTCTCATAAATCCCTCTTTTTGCCTAAGTTGAGTTCCTAACACTTGCAACAACAGCAAAACAGAGGTCGCTGAGGCACAAAAGAGAAGTGACATTTATTGAAAACCTACTATGTACCTGGCAAAACATACAGTACTTCCAGGAAACAAGCTAAAGCTCCAACAGGCGTGCGCACTGTGAATAACACAAGGTAAGCACTCAGGAAATGTTCCTAGAGGAGGAGGAGTAACAGCAATGACAGTAATCATCACCCCCAAAACAGCTCTGGACTCGGGGATAACATTCTCATTTAACAACTGGAGAAACCGAGACTCAGAGAAGTTATCCAGCAGGTAGGTGGCGAGGCTGGGATTTGAGTCCAGGTCTCTCTGGGGCTGTCTGAGCAGGCCAGCAGGACGACAGGAGGCAGTGAGATTGAGCACAGAAAGGGAACGGGGGTTTTGAAACACATGCCAGACCAGGAGGAAAAGGATGGCAAGCTGGCAAAGACGGGAGAAGGGAGAGGAGGTGTGGGGTGGGAGGGACTCCCCCAGGGAAGAAGTTCCAAATGCCGAGACAGCAGTGCTTTGGGGATAGGGATGCACTAATTAAAATAATCGGAACGTGAGGGGACTTATCATCCTCATTTCACCCTATAAACTTGTCACCAGTAAATCTAGTAGGCAATTTTGTTTGTTTCCTTGTTTAGGATTTTTGCATTTCTTTCCATTAGTGAAGCACTGAACATATTAAGTCACCAGGAGCAGTAATGAAGTGCTAATTAGTTGATAATGATCTTTTGTCCCCACAACAGATTAAATTGATATTCTCAGATGCCTGGACTCTGGCCAGGCACAGGAAAGCTATTGGAAAGTCGGTGCCTTTTTTTCTCTTTAGATCTCTGCGTTCCAGATCCCATGACGACCAAGAGATGACAAACATGAAACGGGAAGATTCTGCTCTCCCCGCAGGGTGCTGCTTACCCTGGTGGTGGCAGGTAACAGGCCAGGCAGCAAGGACTCAAGCTGCTCCTTTGGAGGACAAGACTGGGAAGTGCTTCCAAGGGGAGCGCTCACCTCCAGCTTCCAAAATCCCCAGATCCCAACATCTGCTGTCTCAGGTGAAGGCAGAGGTGGAAGTCAGAGCCGCAACTGCACTCTGAAACCACCAGGCTCCAGAGCAGATTTAACTGGCGATTTTTGCTCATATTTGGGTTAAGAGGAGAAGCTTCAGTGTCTGCCATAAAAAGAAAGATGTGCACTTGGCAGATGGCAGGGGGTGCACTTAACTAGGAGCCATGAATCAAGTTTGTTCTTTGAGGAAGGAAGGCGTCCCCGAGCTGTTTTTGCCTGGCTCCTTCATGTCACACGGTCAGGAGAGAGGCCCATCTGAGACAGGCAGACGGGGGCTTGGAGAAGGTGGTCAGAACAGGAACTGGCTGCCAAGTGGTTTACTCTGCCCTGGGGCAGCTCACTGAATTTTGGTAGTAAGTGTGTGCCACCTCTTTTAGTGAGAAAGACCCTAAGCGCATAAGTAAAAGCCCTTATTAGGAAGAAGGGAAGAAAAGAAATCATTAATTTACTGAGTACCTAGCTCTGCACTAGGTACTTTACATCTATTAACCTGCCTGATCCTTACAATGATCCTATAAAAGTCTCTATGATTACCCCCATTTCACATCTTTAGAGATGTTAAGATGTTCCTTAACATCTCTAAAGATCAGAGATGTTAAGGAACCTGCCCTAGGTCCCACAGCCAGTGAAGAGCAGGCCCCATACTGGAGCTCGTGTCTCTCTGACCTCCAAGCCCAGGTACTCTCCCATGTCCAACTCTGGAATTCTGCAGCCTCACCTTCGGCAGGGATTCTCAGTTCAGGATGGGGGACAGTGAGAAGAGTAGACTGAAAATACATATTTCAAATAATACTCTTACTATTTCTGTAATGCACGCTTTGGAGATTCGGCCTAGATCTTCCTAGCCGGTGTGGATATGCGGAACAGAGTGAGACGTATTTTAGGGAGCAAGGGTGAACCCATGGTAGAGTCACACTGCCCAAACTGCAAATGCCATGGGTCCAAGAGACTTGAGTCTGCATGTTAATGTGAATGGATGTCACAAGGGAGCAACCTGAAGGCCAGGCCTTGTGACATCCCAGCACAGTGCCTGGCACATGGTAGGGGTTCAGTACTTGTCTGCTGCTGCTGAGTGCAAAGAAGAGGTTTACACTTGACACTCTCCTTACGGGCCTAAGCGTCTCACCCCATCACAGACCTTAAGTTGATTTTCCACTGTACGACCGAGTGATCGTATCCTCCTGCTGTGAAGGCATAGCGGCCATCGTATGAAAGGGCCAACCCAGCCACCCCGTTTGGGTGACAAGTAATAGCAGCTGTCTTATGAGGATTGCCATCGATTGGTAAGATCTGAAGTCCAACCTAGAAAAGAATTCATAACTGCATATTCAGACTCAGGTAACTAGGCCCCAAGCAAGGCCTGGCACGTAAACATGTCACCTTCCAGTGTGCTGAAGGACCTCCATGTCTTGAACTACCTCAGGGTGTGAAAGCCGCGGTTAATGTAGTGAGGCATCCCCACACACCAGCCCTTGTAGGGAGGTCCCTGAGAGGAGATGGGCCCCGCACAGCTCCAGCAGGTGCACAGAACATAAGCCCTCCTCCCTGTCTTCACAGTCAGATGTCCAGGGTTTTCCAGAATAATTCTCACATTCTATGACTTTAAGCTTTTCAATATAGATTATTCATTAAATGTATAACTAAGTATAGCTAATCTGCATGTCTTATAAGAGCTTTTCATGTAAATAAGAAAGAAAAAAATCCTTTGGTGGTCCCTGTGTCTTTAGTAGGAATATAGAAAATACAGTATTTCTGCTCAGAAATGCCTCCCAAGAGTCATTCTCACTAACGTATGGCATTTTCAGTATCACTACTGACCCGATGGAAATAGTAGGCTTGGCTAGGAAGCCAGGCCTCGCTGAGTCTTACAATCTTTGGGACCAACTGCTGTTCATCGCACATTACCTTACAGAGCTCAAGAACCAAGGGCTGCTACCTTGTCCCTGTTAATGAACACCAAGTAGCGCTTCTGTAGTTCCCTGGTGGTCTTCACGGGCAGGACTTGTGCCTGCTCGATAGGAGAACCATAAGCTGGCCCAAGGAGTGTCTTTCTGAATGAGAAAAAAAAGAAAAAACTTCTTAAATTCCACAAATCTGAATATAAGTTTTAAGACTTTTTGGTCATGATGCCCTTATACATTTTTAATTCTGAATTTTCTGTCTTGTCACTCAGCTAACCCTGTCCATAAGAACTACTCTCTCCACTGTTGCTGGCGCCTGCTGTTAAGTAAGGGGCTGCAGCTCCAAACAGCAATGCTCCAGGGAAAGTGATTATGAAGAATGCTTTTAGCAGGAGTGGCTCTGACTTTCCTCCTTGACAGCTGAGTGAAGGGAACATTATGCCTCAAGAATGTGCACGTGAACAAGGGATGAGAAAGAAGCTGTGATGAAGTGACATGCATTGGCAGGATGCAAATAAACAGCCCATTCCCCAACGGGAGGCCCAGAGATTAGAATGAGATGCCATACATTGTCCCAGACGTCTGATGTACAGGTATATGTGTAACATACAGATTACCAAAAAGCTATCTCTGCATCAAACTGTAACTGATTCATGTCCCCACACTCGTCAGAAGTGTCTAACTCAGACTCTGTTACACTAAATAGGAATCTGCTCAGAGGTGAGGGCACTGGATGTTACCTTAGGGCCGGAGCTGGATTCTTCCTGAAGCTACCAAAATGTGAGCTTCAGGACCCCTTACTTGTGCAGGCACCTTCTGAGCCCTGGAATGGACGCTGGCTAGTTTTTATCCTTAATTATATACCTTTTTTTTTCTTTTTTTTTTTTAAGAGAACCTACAAAATCAAATACCATTCAGGCCCCACAAAACCCAGCTCTCCCCCTGTGGAAGTTCAGCAGGGATTTCATCTTATTCTATGATAAGCCTGGGAGTTGGAAAGTGTTTTTTCCCTGTATTGCCTATGCCCAGCCTGTGTCTACCTGGGATAGCAGGTACTCGTGTATGTGCTGGATAAATGAGGAGCATATTTCATTAAACAAGACTTTCCTGAGTAGCTCTCTGTGCCAGGCATTGTGTTCAGTGCTAAGGATACGAAAATGAGTAACATATGGCTCTTGCCACTGTGGTGACTGCCTGGCAGGGACAACAGACATGAAACCAACATGAGGGGAGCAGGGTGGTAACCCAGCAAATTCACGGTGCAGGGACTGCGCCAGGAAGAATGAGGAGCCACCAGGTGACATCTAAGCTGCTTCTGGAATGGTGACTCAGACATGGAGAGACAAACACAGAAGTAACGGGGAAACAGGCAGCGGGCATAGGCGGTGAAAAGGTAGCGGACGTAGAGTACAGTCTGTAAATTGAGAAAGCACAAACAGTAAGGGGAAAAGGAGTGGGAGGTGGTGGGAGGTGAAACTGAGTAGGTGACAGGGTGGTTATGAAAGCAGGCTTTACCTGTTGGGCTACAGGGTGGTGAGGGAGGGCATCAGGCTGCGATGATCCATGATCAGGTTCATATACATGTAGAATTAGGTGAAATTTTAAAAACATTAAAATGACCACTTTGTAGACAATGCACCAGCTAATTCTAAACCACCCTTCTCTTATCATTGAAGTAGAAAGGTTGAAGACCTGTCCCCACACAGGACTGAGAGGGTAGAGGCAGGGCAGAGCATGCTGAAAAGCACAGACTCTGATTTGAAACCTGGCTCTGACCCTTAACAATTAGGGCAGGCCAGGATGGGTAGTTTAGCATTTTGAGAGGCCAAGGCATGAGGATCGCTTGAGGCCAGAAGTTCAAGGCCAGCCTGGGCAATAGCAAGACCCTGTCTCTACAAAAAAAAAAAATGTTTAAAAATTAACCAATAGATTTCAGTTTCTTGAGCAAAAGAAAATGAAAAATTAAAAATACAAAAAGAAAATTAGCCAGATATGGTGGCGCATGTCTGTAGTCCCAGCTACTCGGGAGGCTGAGGCAGTAGGATTGCTTGAGCCCAGGAGTTTGAGGTTGCTGTGAGCTAGGCTAATGCCACGGCACTCTAGCCTGGGTAACAGAGTGAGACTCTGTCTCAAAAAAAAAAAGTATTACATATTCATTGTGAAAATTTTCAAACTTTCAAAATTTTTATAATTTTCTAAGTAGACACACAGAAAGTAGAAAATCTACCTATAACTTCACTTTGGTGTACCCTATCCCAGTATAATCACAGGCAATGGTTTGGTGTATATGACTCAAGAATTTCTTTTATAATTTTATATAAACATAGAATTATGCTATTCATACTTCAATGGCAATTTGCTTTATCTCTTATCTTTGATATAATTCCACTACAGAGAGAGCTATCTTAACTCTTTCTCTTTTTTTCTTTTCTAAAAGCAGCATCGAGTTCCAGTGCATTGACAAGCCATCATTTAACTAATCCCCTATTAATGGGCATTTGGATTGTTTCCATTTTTAAAAATATTTTCAAACAAGACATCCTTTTACTTATGTCTTGGCACACTGTGTGAGTACTTCTGTGGCCTATATTCCTAGAAGTCAAAAGATATGATAAAATTTAATAGAAGGTGACAAATTGCTGTCCCCAAAGGTTACACCGATTTACACCCCCAGCAGCAGCAGATGAGAGTGCCCGGTTTCCCTAAACCCTTGCCAACACTAGGCACTATCAATCATTGTTATCTTTCCTAATCTGATTTGAGAAAAATGATATCTTGTTTTCATTTCCATCTTTGATATACTAGTGAGCATCTGCTCATAGGTTTACTGGCCTTTTTCTGTGAACTGCCTTTTCATGTTCTTTCAAATATTTTTAAAATGTGTTTTTAAATTCTTTCAGATTTATCATGAAAAGGCAATTCCTTGCCAATTAGCTGTAGTTATGAGACTTTATTATTCTGACAACTTAAAAGATGCTTTATGCAGGGGTTTTATTTTGGAATGATGGAAATGTTCTGGAACTAGGCTGAGATGGTGGTTGTACAACATTGTAAATGCACTAAATGCCACTGAATTGTTCGCCTTATTTATTTATTTAGTAGAGACGGGGTCTCACTCTGTTGCAGTAGCACTATCTCAGCCCTGCAGCCTCTAACTCCTAGCCTGAAGCCATCCTCCTATCTCAGCCTCCCAAGTGACTACAGGCACATGCCACCACATTCAGCTAATTTTTAAAAATTTTTTTGGAAAGATGGAATCTCACTATGTTGCCCAGGTAGGTCTCAAACTCCTGGCCTCAAGTGATCCTCCCACCTTAGCCTCCCGAAGTGCTGGGATTATAGGTGTGAGCCACTGTGCTCAGCAGATAAATTATTTCTTTTAAGATGCTTTACACCAGTTTCAGATTGACCTTCAATAGGCAGAAACTCATAATTGTGTGGCTAAAGGTCCCTCCTGCCTCTTCTCTCTGGTGAAGAACTGTTAGTAGGAACTTCAAGCCTGAGACTCACTATCCCTAATTCTCCTGCTCCACAGATTCAGAGTTTCTCAGGACTGGGCATATCTGAGGGATGTTCTTTGTCCGAAAAGTGTGCAGCCATTAAAGACAATGCATGAAGATTCTGAAATCTTCCTAAAACTCTTCTTCATAAAAAATTGTGCTAGATTTCTCTTCCTATCATATGCCATGGCATTTCTCAGTCATTTTTGCTTCTGCCTTCTGGAAAAGAATTGTTAAAAAAAAAAATTCCTGGGTGGTCCTGGCCTTTTGAGGGACCTATCTTCTCTGTGATACATTTCAAAACAATGATCTCTCTCAAGCCTGGAGCCCGGCTGCCGCTGCCTATTCCCTAACTTCCTTCTCCAGGTAAGATTACTGAAATATTCTCACTTTCAGGTTCTCCTCTTCCTTGCCTTTTTTCAGCTCTATCCAGCAAGCAGCCAAACCACAGCTTACCTCCAGGGCTGAGCACGTAAGATCCCAAAGCCAGGCCTGTGTCAGGGCCTGCCGTGCCCAGGAGAGGACAAAATCCAGCCTGGGTTCGAGGGTCAAGTCCCGCCCTGCTTCACTTTGGGCGAGTAACATAGTCTCCTTGAACCTCAGTGGAATACTCTGCAGGGTTATTGACGATGAGATGGGATGAGGCGCGCAGGCCCTGGCACAGGGATGGCGCGCAATAATCAGTGTTTGTCACGAGGGGAACCCCTGGGACCTGTGTGGGCTGGAAGCACAAGAGGCCACCTGCAGGTGCAGGACGGCTTCAGAAGGGAGGAGATGCTGCACTAAGAAGCCAAACACTGGATGCCCTCTGGAGTCTCCTCCTGTCTCATGGCTTTATTTTACTTGTATTATTTTTTATTTGTTCCTAACCACTAGACAACGAGGGACTTATGGATTTGAACCATCCTGTGCTCTTGACACCCAGCCTAGCCTCTCCCATGACCTCCATACTCAGGAGTCTAATCTGTGTACTCCCACTTGGATGAGTAGTAGGCATCTCAAACTGGCCTGGTCCAAATTCTGACTCTTGTTTTGGTTTTGTTTCTTTTTTTTTTAGTGACAGGGGCTCCCTCTGCCACCCAGGCTGGAGTACAGCCTTCTGGCTTTGAGGTATGTGAGAAGCCCTAGCTCTCACACCTCCCTTTCACTTTATCAGCAAACCATGTTTGCTCTGCATACAGGATCCACCCAGAATCCAAACCCCATCCCTGCTGCTCCTCAGGGCCAAGCCACCACATCTCTCACAACAGCTTTCTGAGTCTTGCTTCTTCTACCTTTGAGCCCCAGAGTCTAGTCTCTGTACAGAAGCCAGATAAGCATTTTAAGTATAAATCAGAATATGTCACTCCTCTGCTCAAAACCCTCCACTAGCTCTCGACTTCCACAGGAAAGAGCCGGAGGCCCCATGGTGTTGTGTGTCAGGCGACCTGCCCGTGCCTCTGACCTGCTCTCCCACGCTCTCCTCCTCGCCCACTCTGCTGCAGCTATGTGGCCTTCTTGGCACTTCTCAAACCTCAAACACCTTCTGCCTTCCATCCTTTGCACTTGCTGGTCCTCTGTCTGGATGCTTTTTCCCCCAACTACATGGTCCGCTCCCTCCTTTCTGTGGAGTCTCTGTCCAGAAGTCACCCTCTCTGAGGCCTCCCCGCCCACCTTGTGCAACAGCAGCCCCTCCACCTCTAGGGCTTCCCTTCTTCCTGCTGCCTTGTGACACTTTTTGCATAGCACTGATTACCATGTTCCCACTACCCAGCTACCTGTCCGTGTTAGTGCATCATCCCTCCCCCACCTAAGTGTAAACTCCGTGATGACGGAAACTGTTTGGTTTTTATCCCGTTGTGTCCAGCACCTGGAACAGTAGATGGCTCATGAAGGCAGTGAACAAAGGAAAGCTATCAGTTGAATTTAAAACTTCTTTGAGAGCCAAGCATAATAAAAATCAATAATTAGTAGTAGTCAGGTGAAAGTATGTTTTTCTTTAGGAGAGAAGATTTTAGAGTATTAGTGACCTTTCCAGGGCCCCAGGGTCTGTTTCCTCCCTGGATTCACAATCACTGGGCTCTGGAGACCTTACCTCCCTCTAGAGCCAGGCTTAGGTGCAAGGGCTCCAGCTTTGCATCCTGCCCCTGGCACTTCATAGCCATGTGACCTCGGGTGAGAATTACTTGTGTTATCTGTGCCTCAGTTTCGTCCTCTACAAAGTGAAGAGGATGCTAATAGTAGCCAAGCTGCTCACAGGTCCTTAAATTGAGACTTGAAATAGGCTTAGGGCAGAGAAATTGATTTATTAATACACATTAGTGGGAAGCTCCTGGTGCTTACCTGCACATTTTGGTGGTAGAATTAAAAAGTTTCACTTTGTAGGCACTGTTGCAAATGAGCAGGAAGAGCTCCTTGGTAAGCGGTGGGTACCAGACCATACAGGTGGGATAGCTGCCCTGGCCACTTCGGTGAATGTCCAGGACTTCCAGGTTGTCTTTGTGACTCTTGAGAAGATCATACTCTATCTGTGGAGGGGCCCAGATGGACACACATGAGGGCCTAGCCAAAGAAAAGGCTCAGCTAAGGAGCCTCCAGCTTTTGGGTGACAGCCTTTGTAATTATCAGCCAATAGTCCTATTCTGGGGGAGACAGTATCAGGTCTTTAAACAGAAAACTTGCATAGACCTTACGCCTAATCAGTCACCGTAACTGAGTATTCACTATGAGCTAAATGCTCTTAAAAACATCATGCTATTTAATCCTCATAACTCCCCTACCAGGTAGTACTGGCATACCCATTTTATGGATGAGAAAACAGATATTCAGACTGGCTTGCCCAGGGTCACATAGTTAAAAAGTGGCAGAGCAAAAGTTCAAATTTAGGTCCAACTGACTCCAAAACCTGAACTCTTACAGTTCTGTTATTCTGCATCTCTTACCATTATCTTAGAAACTCTTCTCGAGTAGGAACTAATTTATATCTAAATCTCAGCACAGCACTCGACAGTCACAAATTAGCAGCCTGCTGAATTTGTCCCACAGATATGTTTCGGTGGGCAGGCCAGGATGCATGGATGGATGGATGGTTGGATGGCTGGCTGGATAAACAGAATAAAGGAAAGAAGGGGAGAAAAGGAAGGGAGGGAGGAGAGAGGAAAGAAGGATGCATAGGTAGATACATTGACTGATTTTGAATCCTTTTGGCTTGGTCCTGTAATATTGCGTTTCCCTCCAACTCACATGCTCTACTAGTTTTCACATGTAGGTGACAACCTGGCCTGACCTCTGGACACAGAGTGTTAATGAGTGCTGGCTTTCCCAGTCATGTGGGGAGGCGAGGGGCGGGGCTCTCCACACTGGGGAACTCGCCTCCCCTCCCCTCACATTCCCATGTGGTGCTTCCCAGAAGCCTCCTCATTCAGAACGTTGAGTCCCTTTCCCATGTCACACCTGGGTTAAGGCAAAGTGCTGACTTGAAGAGGTTTATGATACTTTGTTGTACGCTCATTTTCTCTAACAAACTCACATGCTGTGGGCCTGCTTCTGTGCAAGATGCCAGGGATGTGACAAGAAGGAAACACAGTCCTAGTGACCAGGTAAATGAAAGCTAACCAGCTCACCAAGAGCCTGTCACTCCCGAGGCTCAGCAGTCTAGGCTCATTGTTGTCCAGGTAAACCCCAAACAGGAGACTCCGGATGCTTTTGCGATGAGAGCGAAGTCTTGCTAAGTATTCCCAGACCCTTTTTCCACTTTTGACTACCACCACGTAAACGGCCACAGTAAAACTTACATCCTGAATGTGAGCATAAGAGAAGTTATTCGTTTTTTAATTTTGTTAATTAAGAATCACTATACTTTTATACTAATTTTGCCTTTAGAAAATTTTCTCCAAAAAATATCTTAGCCTATCAGAGCAAGTAGTAAAATAATGCTTATTTACAGATGAGAAAATTAAGGTTAAAAACAGATAATTTACAAAGGTAATGGGGAGAAAGTATTTATTGATGCTATGGTCTTACTCTCTAAGTTCCCACCTCATTCTCTGTGGAAAACCAAGAGCCTCTTTTTGCCTTTGTCCCTTTTCTTTGTCCAGCTACATAAAATAAAAAAGGTTGATTCAAAAAAAGGAATGAAGGCTGAGAGTGAACCCGGTCAGAGTGGAAGAGCCCAGCCTGAAGGGACACAGGGACAGGGTGCCTGAGCTGTGTGGGACCACGCTTCGAAAGTGTTGTGTACACAAACCAGAAAAGCAGCCACACCACAGTGGGGAGGAGAGCACGCTGGAAGGGATGGTGGTTTAAGTGAAGACAGCTGCTTTCCCACCCAACATAAAGGCAGACAAGAGAACTGGCAGGAGGGAGAGGTGAGAGGCCTAAGAAAATCTTTCCTGAGATTAAGAGCCAGCCCTGTTCGCAGAGGGAAGAAATAGAATCCACAATATGGTAGACGACACTGCTCTGAGGTCAATGTCGTCAAAAATCAGAGGGAGGCCGGGCATGGTGGCCCACGCCTGTAATCCTAGCACTCTGGGAGGCCAAGGTGGGCAGATGCTCAGGTCACGGAGTTTGAAACCAGCCTGAGCAAGAGCGAGACCCGTCTCTACTATAAATAGAAAAATTAATTGGCCAACTAATATATATAGAAAAATTTAGCTGGGCATGGCGGTGCATGCCTGTAGTCCCAGCCACTCGGGAGGCTGAGGCAGCAGGATTGTGTGAGCCAAGGAAGTTTGAGGTTGCTGTGAGCTAGGGCTGATGCATGGCATCACTCCAGCCTGGGCCAACAAAGTGAGACCTGTTTCAAAAAAAACAAATGCAGCCTTGAGAAGAATGAGATAGTTAGGACATGACCAAAATTTGTTCAAAAAGCTAATTAACAAAACAAAAGCATCATCTGGATCATATGGGACGGGGAGCACCAGAGAGAGAGAGTGTGAGTGAAAGAGGGAAAGATGAAAGAATAAATGCAGAGATAGGGTTCCCAAAACGTACCCAACCGAAATGAGCTATCAAGGCAGCAGAATCCAAGTCGCGTGGTTCTGAGGCCTTGGTCTTGTTTTCAGGGAAAAGTACTCATTCCTCCCCCACCCCTTTCTCTTTGTGTAACAGCTTTATTGAGATGTTGTTCTCATACCACACAATTTACTGGCTTAAAGATACAATTTGGAGGGTTTTAGTATATTCACAGAGTTGTGCGATCATTGTCACAATTTTGGAGTGTTTTCATCACTGCAAAAAGAAACCCTACATTTTTCCCCAGCTTCCTTTGTCATGTGGTTTTTTTGTTTTTTTGTTTTTTTTTGAGACAGAGTCTCACTTTGTTGCCCAGGCTAGAGTGAGTGCTGTGGCATCAGCCTAGCTCACGGCAACCTCAATCTCCTGGGCTCAAGCGATCCTACTGCCTCAGCCTCTCCAGTAGCTGGGACCACAGGCATGCGCCACCATGCTCGGCTAATTTTTTGTATATATATTTTTAGTTGGTCAATTAATTTCTTTCTACTTTTAGTAGAGATGGGGTCTCGCTCAGGCTGGTTTCGAACTCCTGACCTCGAGCAATCCGCCTGCCTCAGCTTCCCATAGTGCTAGGATTACAGGTGTGAGCCACTGCTCGCTGCCCTCATTTGGTTTTAAATAAGGTTGCTAAGCCACTGGGCAGTCAGTTAAAATACTTACAGCAGTTGCCATATACTGAGAGTCATGGGAAAAACATATGTGAGTCACGCTGGCTCTGGAGTATCTGAAAGGCTCAGCGCTTTCATTTTCTAAAGACATTGCATCAAGAATGTACACTGTCCCCTCTGTGAAGCCAGCTCCAAGAAGGGCTCCTGAAATGACAAACCAGAGGACCAATGATGGAAAAAGACTTCATCCATTCAAGAAATACTGAGTCTGTGCCAGGCTTTGTTCTCAGTACAGAGGAGAGAGCAATGAACACAGCAGATGAGGTGCCCATATGGAGAAAGAAACTGAAAAGTATGACACCTTTGGATGAGCACTCAGACAGTAATGCAGGGTCCTGACAGAAGGTATCCTATCTATCTTGCTGAAGGGACTTGGAGTCAGAGAAAACTTCCTAAAGCTGTAGCAGCCAAGGTGTATCCCCTTTGGGTCTGTTTTCCATTTGGAACCAATGATAGGCTGATAAAATGCAAATACCTTCAGGGTTGTAGGTCAGACTCTGTATTCCAAGCCCTTTCTCAAAGACCCTGCTGAAAATGTACTTTTTCTTCTCATAATCCCACACTTTGATCATCCCACAGAAGCTCCCAACGGCAATGAGAGGTTGATACGGGTGGCAGGAGATGGCACAAACAGCATCTTTGGGCTCTACAAATAACTTCTCAAGTTTGGTCCCATCTGTTGTTAAGTGGTACACGGTGGCATCAGATGTTCCAATGATAAGATTCCTGTTTGCCAAGGGGAGACCAAACAGTATTAGTGTTTGCAGGGAATGGGGCACGCCAGCTATTCTGCTTCTAATTGCACATAAAACGCCTCTGTCGTCTATAATTTAGTGACATTATTAACCCAACATCTCCAAAAATATAACACCAATACCCAACAGCCTCCATTTGCAAGTGAAAAACCCACTTTTCTACATGTAAATTGAGTCATTAAGTATGCAGATGGACAGTCAGTTGTACAATTAGCTAATCTGCACATGCAAATATTCATTTGTGTATGCAAATATGGAGTTTGGTGCACACATACAGATGTGCCTGTAAATACTGCAAGGGTAATTAAGCAGACTCACAGATAATTCGGTCTTGAAATGTTATGGCTATTAATTATCCAGTGCCTTTCACCACAGCAGCTAGGACAAGATCAGCTACAGAAAAGAGACCAACCTACAGGAAGGACTCTAGACTCAACAGAGATTAGAGTTTAGGGATAAGGACCTTCCTGCTTCCATTTACTGAAGAGTCTTAATATCAAAATAAGACTAACACATTTTTAAATGATCAAATAGTGATTATAATCAGTCAAGAAGATCCATCTGCAAGCCAGGTAAAGGACTGACTAGGAAAGCCAGGTCTAGAGCTCTACTGCATATCCCAGGAACAAGATGAATATTCCAACGCATGCAAACTAAATGAAGACATCAATCATTTTTTGACCATTCAAATGACTAGATTCATTCATTCATTCAAATGACTAAATTCACTAACAACTTACCTTACAATAAAGAGGTCACCTTTTAAAGTGCAGTTTGGAGGATAGTTTGATTTTTCTGTTGGAGGAGCTGGCAGGGTTGTTGAAAAGGATAGAGTCTTTATGGGGCTCAGTTTGAAGTGACTGTACCAGTTAACAATAGCCAGGGTATGATCATAGAACTTAATGTGGCCCTTAATGTCACCTGTGACAATATAGCTGAAATGGAGAATAACATCAGTTTGGTAAACAGCAGTGATAACAAGTACCTTCTATTAAACACTTAAATTATATGTCGGGCTCTCGATTCCAAGACATTGTAAAAACTTCACTTCATACTGCCCAATGAGGCTGATTTTACTGTTATTCACTCTGCATCTAGGAAACTAAGGCTCAGAGAAGTTAAGAAATTTGGTAAAGGCCTTGTGTTGCTAGGTTTAACAAATAACAATATAGGATGCCCAGTTAAATTTGAACCTCACATAAATAATAAATAACCTTATAGTATAAGTATATCCCAAATATTGTATGGGACATATTCATAGCCACCGGACTAGACTATGCAGGGAATCCAGGTGTATCTAAAGCAAAGGCCTGCTGTCTGATACACTCTTCCCTGCCCTCTGTGATGAGCCATGTACAATGAGCAGTAATGTACACTCTCCACTGCATCACTACAGATGACAATGGAGAGAGTCACTCTACCAGCCCTCTGAAATCATACAGGCCGCAATGAGACACAAGCTGCTTTACAGGAAGACACTGCTGTTAGAGTGATCGTAAAACCCTGTCCAGTCACCACAGCCAAAGGCAGTGCCGCGTGACAAAATGGCTTTTATTTCCAGTCCTCGGATCCATCCCAAATGAGTTGTTTTTTTTTTTAAGACTCTGACATAATTCTAATCACAGGGGGAGGAGGAGGATGAATTTTCTCCTGTGTACGCACAGTGATTAAATGAGATTTCTGATTAATAAGCAAGGCAGGTGGGCAGAGCAACTGGTCACATCTTTCACTGCCCTCTGCTGGACAGAAGCAGCAAAACTGGCCAGGTGTTTTCAGAGACCCTTTCCAGGCTCCAAGGGCCTGACTGGGTTTTATTAACATGGAGAGAGGAGAAGCCAGTCCTGGTCTTCACTGGGTCCTAATACTAACTAGTTAAAAGTTGATTGCATGGCCAATTGCATTTCTACTACTGTCTTTTCACACCACTGAGGATGAAAATTTGCATTTCTCTTTGTAAAACCATGTCAGGACCTCACTGTTCTCCTGCATCAAAAGAAAGGCAAATGAAAGCAAATGGGCTTTTTGAAAGCAAATGGCTCAGTGACTCTAACCATATGGGCAGGGTCCTTGTCATTAAGTAATTTTCTCCACACTTTTGGGAACTTCCCTCACACACTAATGATGGCTGCCTCCGCTGGGCCAGGCAGTGTGTGGGGAGTTTTACATGCCTTGTCTCACGAAATCCTCATAAAACCACTCTGAGAGAGAGAGTGTTGTTACGCCCATTTTACACATAGAGAAATGGAGGCCCAGCAAGGTTAAGTCCCTTCCTAAGATCACTCAGCAAGGAAGTGTTGCTGTTGGAATAAAGACCCTGTTCTAACTATGGCTTTTAATGACCACCTGAGTTTCCACAGCTGCTCAAAATGAAAGAGTGAGTGATTTTTATAAAGTTCTGATGTATTTTATCTTTTCGTAATGAGTAAATGTTATTTTGTAATCAGAAACAATATAGCTAGTTATTTTCTTAAATTTAAACTGTATAAAATTTTAGGTGCAAAAATAAGTCTAATTAGCATGGAAGAATAATCAGTTACTTTTCGTTTCATCAACACAAAGGGATTTTTTAACACGATTTTTCAAAAATCCAAATAGTACAAACAGGACTATAAAAAGAAGTACATCCACCCCCACCCGTGCTCCTGGTTCTCAGTTCTTTTCCTCAGAGGCTCAATGTGTCCAGTTAATTGTGACTCTCTTCAGAAATATTTTATGCATATATATCCAAAGGGGTTTTAGGATATTTTTAACGTCATCTATAGCTACTTTTCAACAATTACCTATCAACTGTAGTAAGCACAGTGATACTTTCTTTCTGCAAATGAACCAATTTACAAGGCTTGATGTAGGGAGTGCCCAAAGAGGCCGATGAAGATGATGGTGAGCGGTGTATGTCCCAGACGACCAGCTTCCCTTCCTTCGTGGCTGACAGTATTTGTGTCAAATTCAAGTGAAAGATGGACTGGGTAAATCTTCCCACGAGCTTGTTGAAGGTCTGTGTTTCAAATGATAGGTTATGGTTATGGTTGGTAATAAATACAAAACAAAGCATTGATCAACATAACATTATGCTGAAATACACTGGGAGAAAGAAAAAGAAAAAAAAACACTAACTAAAACCCATCTCCCATGGATTGTCACGGTCCAGGCAGTTCTGAACCTCTGAAGGTTTGCTAAGAGCAAGTGAAGGGTTATGTACTGTGTTCAATTAAACTGTTTAAAGCAAGTGAAAGAGTAGATAATCACTGTTATACCTGTTAAACTTCTCTTACAGAGGTTTCAAAGACTGATAAAGAAACTGATATCTGTTGTGAGCAAAAACATATTCCAGTTGTAAAATATCATAAAATAATTCTCCCTTTGATCATAAGATATTTTCCTATCAGTAGAAATTATGTAAGCACTGTACATAGAAATGCCCTAAGAAAGACTCCTTATTAAATTTGCGCTATGTGAAATAAGGCACTAGGCCATCTTTCTTAGCATCTGAGAGATGAAGTATCAAAAGAACACAGAGCAGTGATAAAGCTCCCCTGTCGCATAATACAACAAGTCTGCTGCCCAATTCTCTAATTATGCAGAGGACATCCTAGGGTTTACCTCTTCTAACTTGAACATAAGAGGAACAGTAAAATAACTGGTCAAGCAAGAGCATCAAGTTCTTTCTAAGAGCAGCAACGTTTCAATACAAGGCATTTTTATCATTTCAACTTGCAGTCAATGCTCATTATTTATGGATTCTGTATTTTTGAATTCACCTACTTGCTAGAATTTATTCATAACCCTCCCAATCAACACTTATAGCACTTTCATGGTCATTTTGAAGGTTTTCATATACAGAATGGCTAAAAGTTTGACTCATCCAACACAAACATTCCCAGTTGAGGTCAAACAAGGCAATGCTCTGCCTTCTTGTTTCAGCTCTCATATTGTAAACAAGTATCCTTTTGTGGTCAATAACCATGTTGTTTGCATTTGGGGGGGCTGCTTTTTCTTGGTGATTGCAGGACTTATGTTGGCCTCCCCCAAACATAGTGCTAAAGTGCTGTCTAGTGTTCCTAAGCAAAAGAAGGATCTCATGTACCTTATTGCAAAAATACATGTGTTAGATGACCTTCGTTCAGGCATGTTATATATAGCGCTGTTAGCTGTGAGTTCAACATTAATGAATCAATGATATATATTAAACATGGTGTCTTTAAACAGAAAACATATATAAAACAAGGTTAGGTATTGATCAGTTGGTGAAAATGTGATCAGAGGCTCACAGGAACCTAATCCTGTATTTGCCCTAGAAGCAATGGTTCAGTATTTGCTAATTCAGTGTTTGCAGAGACTTTATAGAACATAACTATATAATAATGACAAGTGACTGTAGTTTTTGGTACTTTAATTTCTAAAAAACAAAGTTTGCAGACAGAATATTTTTTCCTTGTGTCCATCCATCTCATCTTTTTTTTTTCCCTTTTAGCATGCATGCCCTCTTAATAAATTCCTACAAATCATACCAAGAGAGAAGAAAAGAAGCAGAAAAATCATCATAAAGTGCTCACTGAGGGCAGAGCACATGGGTATCAAATGCAGAAAATGCGACAGGAGACAGAACTCAAGTTCCACTTCAGACATAATAGCCTAAGGTGAGCAGGCAAGATGAAATGTTCTCTCAACATCTGGTTCACCACCTTCCTACTGACTTTTAAATATGTAAATACTCAATGTCATTGTTTATTACTCTGAAACTGAGCAGCTTTATAAGGATCCACTCATGTTCAGCTACTCTACTTACACCACTTCAGATCAACTTTTGTTCTCTGTTACTATGTACATATGCATTGTAAAAGCCAACATATTTTTTTCTCAGTAACATTTTATTTTTAACAATATTTTCCTTATTTTCAACTGACAATTCAGTATGGATAAAGGACCCGAGTAAAATCTTTCAAATTATTTCCCAACGGTTTAATATCAAGATGTACAAAGAACAGCCTAAAGCAACTATGCTTGCACATACATATTTATTCTCCACAAAATGGGATGTATAAAAATGCAGCAGGCATACTCACTTTTTCTGTTAAAAGTGGGGCACTGTGAGTAAGTGTCCCTCTCTCTTCATTCTGATAAGTACAGAAAAAATAATCACTACTAAAAAAAGACCTGGTTTCCAAAAGAACTACATAATAACAAAATCAAAACAAATACATTGAAACAGGTCAGAAACTTGCAATTTCTATACGTTAAGAGAACTTGTTACCTCAGGGAACATCTAAAAACATTCTGAAAGAAAAGTAAATATATAAAAAATACCACAAATGATTGTGACTTTACATGGCAGTTAATGCAAATTTGAATTGGACATTAATAAGGCTTTAGAACTATAATAAATACCTGAAGTAATGAATATCACTGACAATCAGTGATTCAATGTGTTTTCGTTTTTGCTTTGCAATTTTTTTATTGAGATAAAATTCACTTAACATAAAAGCAACCATTAACCAATATAAAGTACATAATTCAGTGGAATTTAATATATTCACAATGCCGTGCAACCACCATTTCTATCTAGTTCCAAGACATTTTCATCACCCCAGAAGGAAACCCTCTGCCCATTGAGCAGTCATTTTCTATTCCCTGTGTTCCCCAGCCCCTGACAACCCCATATAAATGGAATCATACAGTATGTGACTGTGTTTGTCTGGCTTCTTTTATTTAGCATAATATTTTCAATGCTCATTCGTGTCATGGCATGCATTGGTACTTTATACGATAATATTCCATTGTATGGATACATCGTATTTGTTTACCTATTCATCAGTTGATAGACATTTGGCTTGTTTCTACCTTTTAGTTATTGTAAATAGTGTTGCTGCTATGAACATTTATATAAAAGTATTTGTTTGAATGCCTGTTTTCAATTATTTTAGGTATATACCTAGGAATTGCTGAGTTAGATGGCAATTCTATGTTTGATTTCTTTTTTATTTCTTTTTTAAAATTTTTTTGTAGAGGTGGAATTTTGCTATGTTGCCCAGGCTAGTTCAAACTGCTGGCCTCAAGCAATCCTCCACGTTGGCCTCCCAAAGTTCTGATATTATAGGCATGAGCCACCATGCCCAGCCTAATTTCAATGTTTTTTTCATCTCATGATTTTGCCCTGTGGTGGTATATATATCACCAATCTGTTTGCTAATTTCTTAGTTCTAACAGGGAATAAAGTCCAAGGTCTCAACAAATCCTATATATTAGACTTGTTAAATATATTCAAATAAGTATTTGCCTCATTACTTTAAAACAATTAAATTATCTACTTCTGATTTAATATGCTAATATGCTAGTCCAATGGGACTAAAATAAATACTATAATTAAATCAAAACATTTTAATATATATTCATTGTTTCCTAAGTGGAGATACTATATTGTTACATTATCAAACATCTGTACTCAAAGAATGAATATACACTTGTATATTTAAACAAATCAAATCACTTGTATATTTAAACAAATTTAAACAAATCAAAACATTTCTACTTACCCACAAATAATATATTGCCTGTGTTTTACTATTGCTCACCAATTCTTTATTATTTGCTGGATTAAAAATAAGGTACTTCTGAAATATAAAGTATGGAAATATATCAATGATAATAAATTTTCTGTCTCTCTCTGGTTAAGCTGAATGTTAAAACTAAATAATAATTTTAATTAAAATAAATGAGTAGGAATGTAAAACAGAAAAGACATGGCATTTGGTAAGCAATAGGAATATCATTTAAATACTGGTTATTAAAATGAATAGTGTCAAGTGTGTTGCCGTCTAGCCTTATTTATTATAATTCATCATTTATAAATTGGAACAAGCTAAAGTAATCCAGTATTCATCAGTAACCTTTATTCTATGTCCTTTTGGACAAAGACAGCTGCATACACATTTCTAAATTTGACAGGACCACACGACATCTTGGAGTGAATGCAAGATATTGGAAGAGGTTTCTGATTCCTGCCAAGATGGTGAATAGCATGAATTGGTGGCTCCCTTCCTAAAAATCAACCTTGCAGAAACCATGGAAATGGGGGAAACACTAAATACAGAAACAAAACAATAAGAGCAACAGTGTGAGTAACCATAAGTCCTGTGTCTTGAAATGTGTGTGGGACCTGGGTGGCTGCAGCCTGAGGCAAGGGGCTGCAGAAGAAGGCAGTGTTGAGGGACAGACTGAAGAAAAGCTTTTCAAGGTCAATTCCTAATGTTTCCACCCCATCTCCACACCTATTCCTAACCCATCACTTGCTGCATCACTGCAGGAATATAAACTACCAATACCAGTGTCCAAGAATTAATATCAGGACAGCACAAAAGCCTGGGTGGGATGAAGAACAGACAAAGCAAAGTGTATGGACAAGACCTCACAAAGACCTCTGGCCGGGGTGACAGAACAAGACTCTGTCTCAAACAAACAAACAAACAAACAAACAAACAAACAAACAAACAAACAAACAAATAAATAAATAAATAAATAATATTTTAAAGAGACCAAATATTTCTTGCAGGAAAAAAAGTGAAGGAAGATGAGGAAGTAGAGAAAGCAAGTGGAGACAACTCCTCTGAGCAGTTTCACTGTGAAGACAAGCAGAGGCCAGAGATGTGGGGTCAAAAGGAGTTCTTTAAGGACAGGTGACACAGAGCATGTTTCTGTGCTGATGGGAATAATGACCCAGAGAGGGAGAGGTGACAGCTGCAGGAGAGGGCCCTGGGTAAGTGGGAGGGGAGTCAGAAATTAAAGAAGACATAAATAAATAGCAAGACATCCTGTGCACTGGCCCATCATGGCAATCAGAGGACAAAAGAGAAGACAGTGAGTGAGGTTGGAAGTAGGTTGTTGGCCTGGGAGTGACAACAGACCAGTGTTTGTATCTGATGGCTTCCTTTTTCCCAGTGACATGTGAGAGCTGGTCGTCAGCTAGGTGAGGGGAAGGGCTGTGGGAGTAGTGAGGAGATGAGAACTGTCATCCTTGGGGACAGAGAGAGGCTACTAGGACAGGCAGGCAGTGCTGAGAGCCCTTTTGAACTTTATGAATGGATTCAAGGTCAAATGAGTAAGCTCAGCTGGGTAGTTCTCTTCAGCTTCTTGTACCCAGCTATGATTATGGGTACAGACAAGGCTGATGGTGGAGTTTATCCAGAGTTGGGGTGCTTTTGTAGCACTGCCTCATAGTACTTTCTGTGATGGTGGAAATGTTCTATAATTTCTGCTGTCAAATACGGTAGCCAACAGCCACATGTGCCTAATGAGTTCTTGAAATGTGGCCAGTGAAACTGAGGAACCCAATTTATACTTTAATTTCATCTTAATCAATTTAAATTTAAATAGTCACATGTATTTGGCAAAGTTGCAGGATGCAAAATAAACACACAAAAATCAGCTGTGGCTGGACACAGGGGCTCACATCTATAAACCCAGCACTTTGGGAGGTCAAGGCAAGAGGAGTGCTTAAGACCAGGAGTTCGAGATCAGCCTGGGTAACGTAGCAAGACCCCATCTCTACAAAATATAGTAAAAAAAAAAAAAAATAAGTTAGGCATGGTGGTGAGCATCTGTAGAGGCTGAGACAGGAGGATCCCTTGAGCCCAGGAGTTCAATCTATGATCTATGATCAGGCCACCGCACTCCAGCCTGGGTGACAGAGACCCTATCTCAAAAAAAAAGAAAAATCAGCCGCCTTTCTATATATTAGCAATGAACAATCTGAATAGGAAATTAAGAAAACAATTCCATTTACAATAGCATCAAAAAATGACAGAATACTTAGTAATAAATTTAACCAAGGAAGTGAGAGATCCGTACACTGGCAATTACAAAACATTGCTGAAGGAAATTACAGATGACATAAATAAATAGCAAGATATCCTGTGCTCATGAACTGGAAGGCAATACTGTGAAGATGACTGATCTACAGATTCAGTGCAAACTCTACCAAAATCCCACAGGTGTTTTTTGCAGCAATAGGAAAGATCCATGCTAAGTAGCCATGTTGGTGGTGGCTGCTGCATTAGCGCAACATCAAGAAGAAGGTTTTCAGGGGCAGGAGGAATGTCGCGGGGAAAGGAGAGAAGATGGGAATAAGGCTGCATCTAGTTACCCAAACCTTCTGCTGGGGATTTAGATCCTGCCAGCCAGTTGTGTGCTTATAACAGTGCCTGGCACAGAGCAGGGACTCCATAAAAGTACAGTGAAATAAGGGTGCAAGGATGAACGAGACAATGCACAACAGCAGAGAGCAGTGATGCAGGACGTCAAGAGACCTAATGCAAACTTTCTGGGTGTCCTTGGCAAGTGACCTCATGTAAATTGAGAGTAATAATAATAACTTCTTTATATAGCTCACAAGTCAGCTACAAGGTTAGAAGCAGGTAAGAGCATGCTGCTTGAATATGAAAGGCTGCTAGCTGGGTGACTTCAGACAAATTATTTAATAATTAATAATAGTATTCCACAGATATTAATATCATCTTGCTAGCATATTTGCATGGATTATGTGAGATAACGTAAGTAAAGAGTTTAGCAGAATCTGGCATATAATAAGTGCTTGAAAAATATTAGCTATTATTATCAGAGATAAAATGAGATTAGGGGTATGAACAGTGTTTTTGTAAAGCTCTATGGCACCATAATAAAACTCCACTAAAACAAAAAGTAGGTTTTGACCTGGCGTCAGTGTAACTTTACATTCATGTTTACAAGCTCAAATTGAACTCACCTGAAAACCATATTCTCCGGGGAGTTTGAGAGTACATGCCGGCGTGTCCACTGCTAAAGTCCACTTCCAGACGCACACTACCTGTAAATGACAGCAGACAGAGGGGCATGAGAAGGTCTCTGAAGGCTGCTGAAGCAACTTATACCTCCTGTGGTGACCCTGCAACTTCGAGTAACTAAGCAAAGTACCACCAGCTAAGCCACAAGCAGAGAGGCCCTGACTGTGCAGTGGAGTCTGACTGTCTGCTGAGAATGTCACTGATGTCACACGGACTGTGCAGAGCTGCCCAGCTTGCTGAGGCTGACCCAAAGGGCCCCTTACCTGGATTTCAGCATCTGAGATGGTTGCCAGATACTTGGCGTCGAGGGTCATGGCTATTGCCCTGATGCCGTTCCCTTCTGGGCAGCTGTCAAATATTGTGTGCACGGGAATACTGCAAAACAGGACAAGGAGGAATAGCACTTGCCGAGGTCTCCCTGATTTCCCAGAGGGGTCTGGAGTAGGTGAGAGATCAGCTAAACCTTTCAAAAACATAACAAAATGTGGCACATCCATACAATGGAATATTATTTAGCCATAAAGAAGAATGAAGCACTGACACGTACTACAACATGGATGAGCCTCGAAAACATGATGCTGAGTGAAAGAAGCCAGACAAAAAAAGGTCACATATTGTACAATTCCATTTATATGAAATGTCCAGGGTGGACAAATCCACAGAGACAGAAAGTAGATTGGTGGTTGCCAGAAGCTGGTTGAGGAGAGAGAAATGAGGAATGACTGATAATGGCTGCAGAGTGTCCTTTGGGAGTGATGAAAATGTTTTGGAACTAGATAGAGGTGATGATGGCTGCACAATAGTACAAATGTACTAAATGCCACTGAACTGCATACTTTAAAATGGTTAAATTTTATGTTATGTGATTTTTACCTCAATAATAATAATAAAAATGTAGCCTAACTCAGGGAAGTATGCAAATGTGCTGTTTCCATTCTTCATAAGCTCTAGTCTCTCAGTCACTTATTCCTGGGTGCCAATCCTGTGCCAGGCTGTACCAGGCATGAAGGATTCAAACATGAAAAAAGATGACTAGGGCAAGGTCCCAGCTTCATGAAAACGGGCACTCCTCCTACATAGGCGGGAACGTAAATGAGCACAACCTTTCTAGACAGCAGTTTGGCTGTATCTATCAAAATTTTCAATGCATACACCCCATGGCCCAGTAATTCCACTCCTACAACTTCTTCCTAGAGAAATAACAGCAAAAGCAAACACAGATCAATGAAAATTCATGGTCATTGTGGCACTACTTCAATAGCAAAAATGAAACAACATGAATATTCATTAATACACGATATACAAATTGCTGAAAAATATTATAGCACAACCATATAATGAAAAACCATGCAGGGCACAGTGGCTCATGCCTGTAATCCTAGCACTCTGGGAGGCTGAGGCGGGAGGATTGCTCCAGGTCAGGAGTTCGAAAGCAGCCTGAGCAAGAGCGAGACCCCATCTCTACTATAAATAGAAAGAAAGTTAATGTGGCCAACTACAAGTATATATAGAAAAAATTAGCCGGGGCATGGTGGCGCGATGCCTGTAGTCCCAGCTACTCAGGAGGCTGAGGCAGGGAGGAGGATTGCTGAGCCCAGGAGTTTGAGGTGTCTGTGAGCTAGGCTGATGCCACGGCACTCACTCTAGCCTGGGCAACAAAGTGAGACTCTGTCTCAAAAAAAAAAACATGCAGCCTTCGAAAAGAATGAGATAGATTAGGACAGTGACCAAAATTTTGTCAAAAAAGCAAATTACAAAACAAAAGCATCATCTGGATCATATGGGACGGGGAGACACAGAGAGATAGAGAGTGTGAGTGTGTGAATGTGTGTGTGTGTATCAGAAAATTCTGGAGGAACAGACTGCAAACTATAAACAATGGTTACTCTGGAGATGGGTTTTGGGTGAGGAGGAACTTTCATTTTTTATTTATACCCTTCTGTACTGTGTTACTGGCAAGACTTAGAATTGTATGATCTAGACAAAGCCTCGACATATGCAGAATTTAATTAGATGAAATTTGAATATCTAAGACAGCCAAAGAATGCAAGCAGCAATGGAAGCAAGGATGGAAGCAAGCTGTCTGTGGAAGGAGGGGTCAGCTGACCTCTATTGGAATGGAAGAGCAGGCAATAGATAGCAGGACTTAAACCAGGAATGTGGGCTATGTGACTCCTGTTTTTGTTGTTGTTATGGAGTCCTTGTCACAGTGAATATAAACAGGCCTCAGGATGTCATGTCAGTGTCCCAGTTGTCTGGAACCAAGTCTGCGTCCCAGCTGAGAGCCTCTGGTTCTCCATCACATGAGAAACTTCATCCCACTGAGAAGTAGCCCCAAAAATTCACCTGGGAAGGCAATCCCAAAATTGTTGGGAATGACACAATGAAATCCTTAGTGGGAAATCGTATCTTATCCCTGGAAATAATTAGAATTAAATATGGAGAAGATAAAGTCATCGGATCTATACCATTAACATATTTGTGACAAGAGAATTTGTTCATTTTTTTAGGAATGTGTGATGTTTAAGTGAATTTGACATACCAGAGTCCCTAACACATTAGTGATTCTAATTTAAAATATGTAGTTGATTTAGACTTGTGATTTTAAATTGAAATCGTATTAGGTTTATAAACAATATTAGAACACTTAAGAGAACTTAAGATTTACTATATTTATGTCTAATTTACTATATTTATAAGAATTACTTAAGTATCGGTGAAGGATCTGTTTGTTAATCAGACTACTAAACAACTTAAAAATGAAACTGAATATATTAAATTTCTAAATGCAGTTTAAAAATGTTTAAGAGGAGTTAATAACCAAATTTGTAAGTGGGGCTAAACATTAATCAAAGCCTCCTCAAAGGTGATTGCAAAATATGCTAGATTTATAGAGTAAGATTTTTAAGTTGAATGAAAAGCTTAAGGAAGAACTACAGTTTTTAATCTGTCAAATAAAGTGAATATTAATTCTAAAACCAAAGCAACCTCTCAATTATCTTTTCTGGGTCCCAAAGTCATCATTTGGGATATCATAAAACTCATATTGACATAGCATTTGAATTGATACTGCTTTTGAATTGGCTTTCCTTTGTAATTTTTTTTTTTTAAAAATCACCATCCTCAGTCTAGTAGGGAAATAGCTTCAAAAATGTAAAATAAGTCATGGATCAACAACAGAAGGGGGCTGTCTGGTGAGGGGCTTCCATCAGCAAAGGCTTTGGAGAAGAGACACACATGAGGGACTTCCACCCTTCTGCTGGCAGACTTTGCAGACTTCCTATTGCATGAGATAATAACTTTCCCTAGTAGTTAAGTTGGATGTTCCATGACTTGCAGCTGAAAGCATGCATAACAACGGCGGATGACGGCTAAGCACGCAGGCAGGGGCATTTCTCTTTCTAGGGCTCCTCCAATACAAGGTGTATATTCTCTCTCCGTAGTAGGCTGGTTTGGCAATGGGCAGGCTCTGAAGGGTTTCAATCAGAGAGGGGCGACACCATCTGATTTATGATTGGGAAAAGATCACACTGAAAATGTTGTGGAGAAAAACCACGTGATGATGTGTAAATATATGTAATTAAAACAATAGCAAATGTTCTGGAAGGAAACACACCAAATTGATTACTTCTAGAAAGAGGACTGGATTGGAAATGGTAGCAAATGTTTTCTATTAAAATGTATTATTTCCATTAAATGTAACAGTTTTTCATTAAAATGTATTAAAATTATTTTTAAAAAGTCAACAGATGAATGAATAAACAGAATGTGGTATATCCATGCAATAGAATGTGATACACCCATAAAAAGGAATGAAGTACTTATGCACGCTGCAACATGGATGAACCCTGAAACACTGTGCTAAATCAAAGAAGCCAGATGCAAAAGGCTACATATAGTTTGATTAACTGATATAAAATGTCCAAAATAGGCATATCTCTAGAGACAGAAAAGAGATTAGAGGTTACCAGGGACTGGGGGCAGGGGAGAATGGGGAGTTCATCAATATAGAGTTTCTGTTTGGAGTGTTGATTACACCAAACCACATCCCCACATTTCAAGTTCCCAGCCCCATTTCCAAACATCCTCAATAAATAAGCCAGCCTCTTGCTTTAGAGCTGCTGCCCAAAGTGATGTGCCCAGCCTCACGATATCCCCCAGTGCCTAGGTGCCTTCTTGCCTACCACTTCTCAAACTATCTGTGGTGAAGGACTCTTTAAAAATTTTTCAATCCACTGCAGCAGACCTATACATTCACAAAACAGAAACATCATAGCAAAGTCAACATGCTATACACGTTGACAGATCAGCTCAGTCTGCGACCACACTGTGAGTGGCACTGCTCTAGCCCTCAGGGATTTCACCACTCCCTATCTGATACACTGTCAGAAAAGGGACCCGAAAAACTGAATTTTAGGATTTAGGAAGAATGGCAATAAAAGACGACAACCTTGATATCCAGAGAGACTCCCCCATCCAGCCTGTCGCCAGCAGGAGGGAAGGAGGGAGACAAGTTACCAAGCAGACACAGGAGGGTACGGAGCCTGGCTCTTCGGACCTGGGCTCCAGCGTCAGAGAATCCGTAGGCTGTCGACACCCATCAGCCCCTGGGCTGGTCTCGGCAATACTTGATTAAAATAAGCATACTATTTACCCAAGTTAGGAAGGCTACTGGGACTCTTATTTTAGCCATCAAAATGTGTCAAAAGGCTATGATATTCTTTCACTAAGCACCGGATTGTTGCAAAAAAAAAGAAAAAAAAAGAAAAAGAAAAAAGAAAAGAAATTAAAGAAGAATTAAAAAAAAAATAAAAGGCTATGATAGTCTTAGCACAAGAAAGACGTCAGACATATTCTAATAGAAGGGCACCCTACAAAAATCCCTGACCAGCATTCCTCAAAG